TGGAGGTTCCCAACGGCTCCCGAAAAAACACCTTCCCGTTAAACTCCCTCAAAAACCTAGCCCATACCTCCAAGTCCTCTCTCATGTCCACTGACACCCTAATATAATGCGACGGTTTTCTCACCCCGCTTGTCGCCCGCGCCAATCGTCTGCAAAAGACCCTCCCCATAGGGATCACTCGGCACGCAAAATTCAGGCTCCCTATCAACGATTGAAGTTCACGCAAGGTGACCTTCCTCGCCCTACCAACCGTGTCAACTAGCCGCTGAAGGGCATGTAATTTGTCCCCGGGCAACCTGCACTCCCTCCGTACCGAGTCGATCTCCAAACCCAGGAAGCTGAGGCACGTAGTGGGCCCCACCGTTTTGTCCTCTGCTAACGGCACCCCAAATGTGTGTGCCACCCACTGGAAGGTCCTCAACACCTGGCTACAGCGCTCCGTGCGTGGTGGGCCAACGCATAAGAAATCGTCAAGGTAGTGCACCACAGCACCCCAGCCGATTCCCGTCGTACGACCCACTCCAAAAAGGTGCTAAACCTCTCGAAGTAAGCACACGAGATGGCACAACCCATAGGCAAGCATAAGTCCACAAAATCCCCCCCATCGAAATAGCACCCCAATAAGTGATGACAATCCGGGTGTATGGGAAGCAGCCGGAAAGCTGCCTCCACATCCAATTTCGCCATTAGAGCCCCTTGCCCCGCTCTCCTAACCAACTCGACAGCCTTGTCAAATGATGTGTAGGAAACAGAACACAGGGCCTCGTCGATATCATCATTAACCGATGTACCTTGTGGGTACGATAAATGATGGATCATACGAAATTTACCCGCCTCCTTCTTGGGGACTACCCCAAGTGGAGACACCCGCAAACCAGCCAACGGCGGGGAAGCGAATGGTCCCGCCATCCTCCCTAATTGCACTTCCTTACATAACTTTTCCCGAGCTATGCTCGGATGTTCCCCCACTGACCGAAGGTTTTTACATAACCCACCCGCAGCCCTTTCTTGAAACGGAATCCTGAAACCCTCCGTAAAACCCAGCCGTAAAAACTTTGCCACCTCCTGATTATCGTATAGTTTTAACCAAGGCAGCATCGCGCTTACCTTCACCGGCGACGCTCCCAGCTGCAGCCGCAGCTGTTGATGTGCCGACAACCCCTCCTCCCAAGTTCGGCTTACCTTTTCGGAAACACCTGGAAACTCCGTGATTACCCCCGCAACCGGAGCACTCGTGCTTAAATCTGCAAGATGCACCCCACTTGCATTGGCCCTCATTGTAGAGCCAGCAGAAACCTTTCTTCTGACCTGCCGACACGGTACCTGAGCCCGTGCCGGCCGCTCCGAGAAAGGGGGCACTTTTCTGTGCCATCATCAGCCTCATCCACAAAGGCAAGTCCATCTGGTCCCACCGCATGGATGGATTTGCCGCCAATCGCTGACGAAATTGTTCGTCATATTTCCACCATGCTAAACCCCCATAGGTCCGATATGCGTCCCCTATCCCGTCTAAATAACAAAAAAGCTGCGAACATCGATCCGGGTATTTTTCCCCGATCACGCTCGCCAAAATACAAAAGGCCCTCAACCAGTTCCCAAAAGACTTGGGTATCTTCCGATACCTCCGCCTCTTTTCCTCCTCTTCCTTTTTCGCATCCTTTTTATCCTCTTCTTTCAAGTCTAAAAATTCCTCCAGGGGAAGCAGGGAAAATATTTCCACGAACTCCCCTTTCCAAATTTTCTCCTTAACCTCCACCTTTAAGTGGCACCCTAGCGGTCCCGCAAAAGACACATGCACATTTTGCCGTGCCGCATCTGTTACTTCCCCGCAGAGAACGACATGCTCACCCACGTCACCCGTCGCTCCTTGACCCGTCCCCGCGGCGCCCTCACCCCCTTTCGGCTCCGCTGACGCTGCGGCCTTAACCCCTGCTGCCCGACCGCCGTCCGCAACCCACACTTTCTCAAACTGTGTCGGAGACCCCCCGTCCCCAGACCATGAATCTAACAGAGATCTTAAACATCCAAGTAAGCTTCCTGTGTGTGATGCAGTTGGAGACTCACCGCTCAAGCCCCCGGCCGCTGCTGGCCGCGGGGGCGCCACTTTTTCCACCACGACAGCCGACCCGGAAGGAACCAGGGGACGCCGACTCCTGCCCGCCTGTTCGTGTGTTGCTCTCGTGGGCGTCCTACTCAACGACCTGCAAGGAGAATACAGCCTGGGTGATCTGTCCGACTGCAGCCTCACCCGCCCTTCATTCCCGTGATCAGACCCGTCCTCACCACTTCCCTGCCTGCATCGTCCCTCCCGCTCGCTACTTCTCCTCCTCCGTGCCGTGTGGTTCCTCTCAGACGACCTTGACTCACTGCGCCGGCGCCGTAGCCACCTGTCCCGAGAAGCTGACCTCCTCCTATTGCTCCGGTTCCCTGCTGGGCTCCCGTTCCCATGTCTCCTACTGCCTGCAGACCCTGACCTGCTGTCCCGCCATTCTGCCCTTCCGCGCTGCCATCCTCCGCCATTCCCTCTGCTGGCGCTCCTCTTATCGAGCCGCTCCTGGGATCGACCCCTAGAGGCCTCCCGCCCACTGCTGTCCTGGGTGCCGCCGTCCTCCTGGCCAGTCACCCGCCTGCTGCCACTCCGCTCCATACTGCCACTCCTCCTGACTCCTGGGTCCCCAGACTTGCCGATGCTGTGCCCGTCTCCCCTTCTTCCCAATCTCCTGGCCATGCTCCTCTGATCCCTTGGATCCGCAGCGCTATCCTTCCTGCCTCCAACTCCAGCCGCCTCCTGCTGTGCCCTGCTGACCTGGTCCCTCTTCCCAACCTGTGAGACCGCTGTCCTGCCACTGCCAGCCCCTCTCAATCCCTCCTGCCCCACAGTGCTGCCCCCAGGGGGCGACTCACCGGGACGTCCAGGGCTGCTCCTGGGTCTTGTAACCGACTCCCCTCCGTCCTGCTCCATTCCGGCACCAGCTGTCAGCTCCGCCTGCCCGCCCGCCGCCATCCGGCAGGGGGCGCCCTTCAAGGGAGGCCTCCTCCTGGCCTGCAACCTCACCGCCCCGGCATTGCGCCTAGCTGGCGGTCCCGGCCGACGACCCGCTCCACGTCCCTGCTTTCCGGCCGCCGCACTGCTTCCCGCCGAGCTCCTCCTCCGTCTGGCTGCAGGACCCGCTCCAGGACTAAGCCGCTGGGGTGGCCTAGCTCTCCTCTCCGGCCTCCGATCCGGCACCGCATGGGGGGGAGCAGACGTGCTCGGAACCCCCAGCTGCTCCTGTAGCCACGCCATTCCCTTCTCCTGCACCACGGACCGCAGACCGGACAGAAGTTCTTCTAATGACGCCATGCTGCACCTGGAAAAGAAGAAAAGAGGAGCCCAACCGACCTGCAACAATTTACAGGTAAGAAAGGCTCAAGTTAGAATGAACTTACCCTAAAATGGCCGCTATTTAAACTTCCCTTCTAACCCATGCACCCCAGCACAATCACAGGACAGCCTCTTGACCTGAACTTCACCCTGCCTACTCCTGGCTCTGTCAAGGCCCACTCCTCCCTGCGTTGCTCCGTGGTTTCATGGTTGCAAAAAGACACAAAACACTTTAAAATACATAAAGTCACATTTACACATAACACACAGACATTTCACATATCCCCAGATAGCTGGGATCTGAGTGCACATTATTAGATGAATGGCACTCAGATCACACAAATAAGCCTTTCTGCAGGGGAAATAAACGGTTTAACCTGCAGGGCCATAGTCCAAAGGGAGCAGGCGAGCAACCAGGCTTCTCCAGTTCACAGTGGCGAGGTTGGTTTCGCCACAGTCACCGTATCCACTGTTAGCGTAACACACCCGCTTTAAGGACACACTGACTGCTATTCAATCTATAACAGTGAAAAAAGTGGTTGTTTTTTTTTAAATACAAGCTTTGTGTCACCAGATCTAAGTGGTGGCAATGGTCACCGTATCCACTGTTAGCGTAACACACCCGCTTTAAGGACACTGACTGCTATTCAATATATAACAATGAAAAAAGTGGTTGTTTTTTTTTAAATACAAGCTTTGTGTCACCAGATCTAAGTGGTGGCAATGGTCACCGTATCCACTGTTAGCGTAACACACCCGCTTTAAGGACACTGACTGCTATTCAATATTTAACAGTGAAAAAAAGTGGTTGTTTTTAAATCCAAGCTTTGTCGCAGATCTAAGTGGGTGGCCAATGGTCACCCGTATCCACTGTTAAGCGTAACACACCCGCTTTGGGACGCATATTTGCTATTCAATATATAACAGTGAAAAAAGTTTTTTTTTTTTTAAATACAAGCTTTGTGTCACCAGATCTAAGTGGTGGCACTGGTCACCCGTATCCACTGTTAGCGTAACACACCCGCTTTAAGGACACTGACTGCTATTCAATCTATAACAGTGAAAAAAGTTTTTTGTTTTTAAATCCAAGCTTTGTGTCACCAGATCTAAGTGTTGGCAATGGTCACCGTATCCACTGTTAGCGTAACACACCCGCTTTAAGGACACCGACTGCTATTCAATCTATAACAGTGAAAAAAGTGGTTGTTTTTTTTAAATACAAGCTTTGTGTCACCAGATCTAAGTGGTGGCAATGCACGTATCCACTGTTAAGCGTAACACACCAGCTTTGGGACGCGGCTGCTGACTGATATATAACAGTGAAAAAAGTGGTTGGTTTTAAATACAAACTTTGTGTCACCAGATCTAAGTGACGTGGTCACCGTATCCACTGTTGGTAACACACCGGCTTTAAGGACACTGACTGCTATTCAATCTATAACAGTGAAAAAATGGTTATTTTTTTTTAAATACAAGCTTTGTGTCACCAGATCTAAGTGGTGGCAATGGTCCTGCGATATCCACTGTTAGCGTAACACACCCGCTTTAAGGACACTGACTGCTATTCAATATATAACAGTGAAAAAAGTGGTTGTTTTTATTTAAATACAAGCTTTGTGTCACCAGATCTAAGTGGTGGCAATGGTCACCATATCCACTGTTAGCGTGACACACCCGCTTTAAGGACACTGACTGCTATTCAATCTATAACAGTGAAAAAAGTGTTTGTTGTTTTTAAATACAAGCTTTGTGTCACCAGATCTAAGTGGTGGCACTGGTCACCGTATCCACTGTTAGCGTAACACACCCGCTTTAAGGACACTGACTGCTATTCAATATATACCAGTGAAAAAAGTGGTTGGTTTTTTTAAATACAAGCTTTGTGTCACCAGATCTAAGTGGTGGCAATGGTCACCGTATCCACTGTTAGCGTAACACACCCGCTTTAAGGACACTGACTGCTATTCAATATACAACAGTGAAACAAGTGGTTGTTTTTTAAAATCCGCTTTGTGTCACCAGATCTAAGTGGTGGCAATGGTCACCGTATCCACTGTTAGCGTAACACACCCGCTTTAAGGACAATTGACTACATTCAATATATAACAGTGAAAAAAGTGGTTGTTTTAAATCCAAGCTTTGTGTCACCAGATCTAAGTGGTGGCAATGGTCACCGTATCCACTGTTAGCGTAACACACACGCTTTAAGGACACTGACTGCTATTCAATCTATAACAGTGAAAAAAGTGTTTTGTTTTTAAATCCAAGCTTTGTGTCACCAGATCTAAGTGGTGGCATTGGTCACCGTATCCACTGTTAGCGTAACACACCCGCTTTAAGGACACTGACTGCTATTCAATCTATAACAGTGAAAAAAGTGGTTGTTTTTTTTTAAATACAAGCTTTGTGTCACCATATCTAAGTGGTGGCAATGGTCACCGTATCCACTGTTAGCGTAACACACCCGCTTTAAGGACACTGACTGCTATTCAATCTATAACAGTGAAAAAGTGTTTTTTGTTTTTAAATCCAAGCTTTGTGACACCAGATGTAATTGTGGCACTGGCAATGGGCACAGTATGCACTGTGAGCCTGACACAGAAGCTGGCAGCAGTGGCAGACAACTGACTGCTA